AAACGTGTAATGCATTCGACGCGCGGCTTAACGCCACCGATTATCGATCGTGTCCGTCACACGATACGTCCCTCATTACGAGTAATATTAAATATCATCTATATACGTCGGTATGTATGTATTTTCTTTCCCGCAAGGGGGAAGTAAGTCGTAAGCGATAAAAAAGCGGAGCAGACGTGTCTCCCCCGTGCTCGACCGCAAGAATTAATTGGTCAATTTCATTTATCGACGTTACTCGCGCGCACGACTTTTGGTCGATTGCGTCGTATCCTCGGGTTTTTCTACGTGCACATGTCTACATTCGGCGCGGATAGCACAAGGAGAGGATCCCCTTCTCACACAATCGAGAAAATTGGACGTTTTCGGTATGCGTGCACACATGTGTGTGCGTACACGTGTTTCCGCGCCTTGCTGCGCTCGCACTTTGGCTTCGTACATTGCGACTGGTGACTACAGGTGGACTTCACTACGCGAATATTGTCACTCACACGCTTTACCCGTGCCCTTATTTATTCATAACGAGTGAACTTACATAGCAAGCAAATAGTGCGCGCATGCTGGGGAAAATTTAATTTACTTTGTTTCCCCGTGAAACGCGCGCGGAAAGTATTAGCGCAAAATATTGTTGCGCTTTATACGAGCGAAATATTTCTTCCTCTCGCGCGTGGCGGGACGCGTCCGTTTTCATTATTGCTACTGTCGGGCGCAACAAGAGCCACGCGCATTCTTTGTGCACACCGCCGAGCCCGCGCCGCGCCGACGAAATGTTTCATCCCATAACAACCCTTTGACAATTTTTTGTCTGAGAGATGTATGTTTATATTCATTGGACAGTGTACAACCCGCGAGCCGGGTGTATCCGAAAGTGGTAGGAGGCACTCTCATACATTTATTCCGAACTTAATACAGACCCTATCATAAAATACAGCTATACAATACATACAGCGATGGAAATTTAAATTTATAGCGACGGAATCGCGTCTAGAAAATGAAACGGTCGAAACGGCTTCTGTCCGCGGGCGAGGCAAAGCTTTCGACATTAAAATAAATAAACAAGAAAAACGGTGAGGGAGATTCGAGAAATGTGTAAATTAAAAAATTTTTTTTTATTCACCCATCGATGTCCAACGCAAGCGGTAATTCCCACGCAACTGTTTTCAAATGAAAAAGGAAAATAATAATAATTCAATCGCAGTAAAATATGTTTAATAAACAGTAACATGTGTTTCGTCGAGTTGTAAAAAATAACGCAGCTAATTAATTAATTAAACAAATATCACACTCGCAGAATTCACTGGAGATGCGCATTTTAATTACGATGATACAGCAGAATGTTTCGATCCGTGATTCTCCTATCCTCTCATAAGGGTGGAATCTAACCCTCGTTTCAGGGGACGACGCTTCTCGAACACACCGCCGATATTTAGCATTTATATACGCGACGTAACCGCGTTACCAGGCTACACAGTACCTCTGATCGATAAGCGTGCATCCCCGGATGACGAGGAGGGGGTGGTGGAAGAGCAGGAGGAAGAAGAGTAGTAGTACGAACAGGTAGGAAGGAGGAGAGAGGTTCCAAGGCGCGGGGTATTTTTTGCGATTCGCGACAGCTTGATAACCGGTCACGAACGCGTTGATAAAACGACGCCGAGAAGACAGAAGAGAGAGGGAGAGAAAGAGAGAATCCGGGCGTGCGACGTTCCCGAGGGATTTATTGTCGATTTCACAGGACGCTTCTCGCGCGTCCGGCTCGCTCGTCGGGAAAATTTCGACCGACCAGACACACCGGGCTGTCGATAAGCGATGCACCGTTAATCTGTGCGCGCGCGCTTTCCCAACGCTCGCGTGCATCGCTCGAATGCGCTTCTCGAGAAGACCGACTCGCTCGCGATCGAAACGGCGTAATGGAACGTTCGGAGAACGGGAGAGGAGGAGGAGTCTTGTTTTTCCCTTGACGCTTAGTGCTCGCTCCCGCGAGTAGTTCCTAACGCAACTTAATTCATTAACGAGACGCGCTTCGACGGGTCAATCTAATTTCGCGATATCGCACGTTCGAATCGCGACCTCCGATCCTCAATTCAGCGCGACGCGCGTCTTCACGTCCCCCCGGTCGATAAAACCCGACTCGTCACAGCGAGTCCTTTCATCCTCACGAGCGTCTTCGTTGCAAATGAATGACAGCCGGGATCTGTAACGACGTTATTCACATGAAGACGACAACGACGAGGAGGTTCCGTTGACGCAACCTCGCAGGAATCATTTCACAAGTCGTCGACGATTAAATCGCGACCTTGTCGGCCGCCAGGGCACCGTGTTGCTGACATAACGTCGTACGCTCTCAATGACGGACGGGAATGTGTCGTGACTTAATAGCGCCGCGACCGGCGGTGGAACGAGCCGTGTCAAGCGCCCATGAAATCACCGCCGTGTATTCGACGTAGCAGTTTTACAGTATATTTTTTGATCGGCACGTGGAAAAATAAAGCGAGCGATTCGGGACGTTTTGCCGACCTCGGGCCGGGCTCCCGTAAAAACAGACCGCACTTCAATTTACGACGACGTTGGGTGGATGTGACTGTGTAACTGTTCGTACCCCTCTCCCTCTCTCTCTCTCTCCCTCTCTTTGTATCTATCTTTCTCTTCTCGTCTTTTATCACTTCTTTCGGAGAAAAATATGCAAAAATAGGAAGTTCGGGTGCGTGACATGTGTGTCGGGATGTAAAATTGGACGCGGCCAGGCGGGGAATCATCGATTCTTTCGCAATGAAATCAGGTTCCTATCTCGTCGTAGGAGAGCTGACGTGATCTCATGTATACAGATCCCAGATCAACACGGACAAAATTAGTGAAGATATAGAACGAATTGAGGTGAATAAAAAAAGTTATCCACTATTTTGTGAACAACGCGCAAAATTTCGAGTAATTAATTATTGAAAATGGCCATATATAGAGGCTTTTTTAATTAATAACTCTCTACACATAGCCATTTTCAATCATTAATAACTCAAAATTTTCCATGTTGTTTGTAAAATGGTAGAGGACTTTTTTTATTCACCTCAATCCGTTCTATGCATTCGTTAAAGTTGTTCATGTTGAAACACCCCATATATTCTACAACTTTACGTTTTGTGTAGAATTCGAAATTTATCGCCCGTCGTGCGCGACGCGCAATTCTCTTTTTCCCATTTAGCTCGCAGCGATTTAATTCAATTAACTGTCGTGAATGCGGAAGATGCGCTTTCTTAACGCACTTAATTCTAATTCATTAAGCGACTTATATTCCATGTGAATTTTATTCAAACCCGCCAAGTGCGCTATCGCACACACATGTGTGCACGCGCGCGTATCACGACTCTTCTGCAATTCCAACCTCTGCTGTTTCATTCTCTCTAATGTATTTGTTCTTAATTTATTCAGCATCTCGGAAGAGAAAAATAGCGAAGCCAACCGGTCACTCGAAGACGATAGATTTTGTCAATTCGTGCCGTTTCAGGCGGCGACGTTTCACGCACGACAGCGCGCAACGCACGACGATATTGTCGCCTTGGGCAGAACGCTACTCTGTCGTCGTAATTATATATTCGTAATTATGGATCTCACTCATGCGAGAACTGGGCAGAGACCGTGGTTCGGAGTACGCACGCGATAACGACGCGTCGATAACTACGATATTTCAATAAACAGGCTTTTCTTCGCAAATCGCGAAGAGTAACAATGACGAAGAGGAGGAACGAGCAACACGCGGCTCTCTCTCTTTCTCTCTCTCGTCCTTGCGTTCTCGTCGATTAGTGCTATTAATTCGCGATAGTTAGACGCGACGAACAACGTCGGCGGGTAAATCGAGTCGGAAGTTAATTCGCTCGTATCGTTCTCGAGTCGAGAAAGAAAGATACATGTAGAGAGCAATTGCCGCTCGTTAAACTGGACGACGCTACACCTGACGCAACTGAAAACTATCTGCTTCCAGGAATTTATTAACACCTATCAACGCGTAAGCAGAGAAGTGACGTTGAAAAGAAACTGATGACTTGATGATTTCTCTCTCTCCCTCTCTCTCTCTTTCTCTCTCTTTCTCTCTCTCTTCTCCCTCATTTTATCTTACGCGTCGGATAACCCTGAAGGAGCTGAGTATCGCGCTTTGTTCTCCGTTTGTTCCTAATTTATGTCAAGGTCATTGAGCGGTAAGAGACGCGAGCGCGAAATGTCTGTTCAGGTAAAAATCGTTCAATTATCACAGAAGCGATTAAGCAGCTCCGGTTAATAATGTTCGCTTGGCGAAAACGGTACGTGACTACTATTCCGAAATTCGTAATACCTGTTAATTAACTGTTATTAAATTTGCATAATCCCCTAATAGGATTTTCAATTGATCTCCATTTGCGATAACGTAATTAAAGTGCCCCCTATAAACTCCTGGACTAATATCGACTACAGCAGCAAGACCAGCGGTGGCGGCATCGAACGTTTAATCATATGCAATCATGCCGGACTCCGATCTCAAGGGTTATTAAAAAATCTCTGTCTCTCTCTCTTCTTCTTTAGTAAAGTCAACCTTCGTGGGCGGACGCATTATCGTTGTCAGTCATATGTCGGCCTCACACAACGCGACGCACTCGAGATAAATGTACAAAATTATCCGCCCTAATCGCCGGTTTAAAAATAAATTGCAGACAAATGGCTTTCGCGTATAATTAATTTGATGTAACGAATAAATGAACAACTATTTAAGCGACATTTCTTACCAATTAATTCAAACTGATTATTGATTTACCACAGTTCCTTTCACATGGGTTATAATTCAGTTAACAAGTAATATAGATTATTATAGCAGACTGAATATTATATTCACACAAATTATCTAATATCTAATTTTTTCATTATAATTCATCTAACATTGACATTTTAGACGTTTTTTTCTTCCGTATACGGCTCGTTTTCAAAGACAAATGCAAAATTCGGCGTTGTCGCCGTTCATATTTTTCGGAACGATTTGTACTCACTCGCTTTTCAAGACTCGATCAGCTCGTCGAGCGGCTCCGATTGGCCCTCCGTTGACAAGTATCATCCGCGCACACGCGACTTGCACGCGTGCACTTCTCTCTGTGTCCCTTTTCTTTTTTCTTTCTCTATTCTCTCTCTCTCTCTTACGTTCGTTTGTGGCGCATCCCAGGTGCGACGGCGCTTCTATTCCGCGACGAATTAACCGATGCGCTGCTCCGGGGCAGAGCGCAAAAATTCACTCGCTTGTTACTCGCGAAACAAGTTGGTGTCGATGTCGACGTCACCGAGTCGCGAGTCTCCCGCCCGACTCCGAGGTGGCTTGGCTGTTGCTGACCAGTTTTAGCGACGGCAATCCAATTTGCAACGGATCGATGCGGCCGCGGCAGCGCGTCGACCGCTCGTGCGTCCAAAGAATCTCCCAATCTCCTTCTTCGAGAAGGGATGGCGAGTTCCGGCCGGGTCCGTTCAGGAGGACAGTTGACCGGTCAAATGGACCCGACGTGAACGACCCACCCGACTGTGCTCGCGCGGTCGCGTCGCGGCGATACGAGATGTCGGCGCGGACGTCGTTCTTGACGTTCTCCACGAAGCCCAGCGAGATTCGTTATCTCGGCTTATTTCGTCTCCTCGAGATAGTCGCACCGGGAAGGTTGATGAGACCTGGGGAAGTTTAAGGGCTCGCGTCAGATTAATCGCGATCGAAGCACCGGAGCTCGAGTCGAGCTTTCAACCCCTTCAACGACGAAGAGACGGAATGAGAGAGACAGAGAGCAAGAGAAAGACGCGTGTCCCTCGGGAGCGACGTTCTCTCCTCAGTTCTTCGCGAGGAAGGTACTACGAGACGCACGGTCGTCGATCATCGGCGGGGAAACTTTCCGCTTTCGCTCCAATGTCCCTTTAATCGCGGTCCTGCCGCCGCGCCCGGCACTCTTGCGCGTCAAGCCGTAAGAGATGCGCTCGGCACTCGCGGTCGATCGCGTCGCGCGTTTTTCACCGTCGTCGGCCGAGGTGTCACTGCTACGACTTGCATCCTCGCGATTTATAAAGCCTCTCTCTCTATCGTCTCTCTCTCGTCCGGTTCTTTGCACGCCGCGGTTCTGTCGGTACGACTCTCGTTATTATTCCCCTGCCAAGTGGCCGTTTCTCCCGCCACGGTGGCGTGCCGTCGCCACCCACCGTCGCGCACCGTGTACATGTGTGTGTGTGTGTGTGTGTGTGTATGCGACTTAAAGGCTGAAGCCTGAGTCGGACGGTGCGTTTTGTCCGTTTTGTCCTCGTAATTTTGTAGCTGCGAGGACCGGGGAGAAGGCAGAACGCGAGTTCGAAGACGTGGCCTTTGTCTACAACCTTACTTTGAAACATAAATCGTAAGCAAATTGACCAATCACGGCCGATTATTCTTCTAATAAACGACTGGTCAATTTGCTTACTGCTTAAAACGAGGTTGGGGACAAGGGCATATTCTTCGGAGAATGCGCCCAGGAAAGTTTTACGCGCGGACGAGCGCTTTCGCGACAAACGAATACGCGTAAGTCGGGAATAAAGTCGGGCCAAGACTTGCGAACTAAGTCTCCGTTCTTAATTTAAATTTAAATTTTTGCCTTAACGGATACAAATTGCTCATGCTATAAAGTCAGAATCTTTCTTGCCGCGATTGAATCGTATTGTTTTCACGAGCTCCAATTGTGTCAGTGGGCTTTGATGGTATATTGAAGGGCGATTATCCTACTCCGAATTATGCCACTTCGGGTGAAGTCGCGTAGGAAACGTGCCGTGTAAAATTTACGAGAAACTGACGTGTCGTAATTTGTTTAGAGAACGATTCCAGAAAGAAACTCGCGCCGTGCGTTTCGGGCGTAACGCGCGCGATCGGGACGATTGGTGAGCTAATAAAAGAACTGCGACTGTGACATTCATTTCGAGAATCGATTCCTCCGACACCGGTTAACCCTAATTGGAGTTAACTGAATTCGTTCTCTTTCTAGATCGTAGATACGCGATCATGACGCGAATAGATAGATGTGGCACGTTGAAATTAAAGTTAAACGACGGTCGCGGGAACAGACTGTAAAAAAAAATACTCGATGTGTCATACTTGACGCAAAACATCGACGGAGAAAAAACACCGGCTATAAATCGTTGCAATCAAAATTCTTTTTTGCCAAATTATCTTCGCGCGTTAAGTGGCATCGTCTGGTGAACATTTTACGAAATAAAAAACATGAATATCGGTGTATAATATTATTAAAATATAAGTGGCAATTCTACTGTACTTCTCAGTAAATCTTTTTTTTTTTGTATCGTTTCGTGTCGTGTAATTTATGCTTATATAATGTCGATATCTGTACGCCAGAATTTTAAATTAGACAGTCGTATTTAAGTGGTTTTTATGTACCGCAGAATAGCACAACAAGTTCTCCCACACGTACACTCGCGAGTAGAAAAAATCCTGCAAAAAGCGATTCTCTCTTAAAAAAAAAGGAAAATAAAAATGATGAGGAAGAGGAACACGAAGCAATTGTGCGTCGCATGGATTATCTTCGCACGCCGAGAAATAGCGACGGATTTTTCCCACGACCTGAGAGCTTTTTACCGCGAATGAGAAAAAGTGACGACGAAAGTTTTAAACAAGACAGTTTGTTTTAACTTCTTCTTACGAGCTCGTTAATCTCCGGAGTAACGCGTCCGGCGACTTAATTTGGCAGTGAAAAATTTTTTTATCGCAAAAACGAAACGATGTATAAAAGTTCGATTACTTTGTCGGAAATTGCTCGTGAGCGCTCGCGGTGAGCGCCCACGGAGACGCACACACGTTTTCGCTCCAATTACGCACTTTAATTGCGACCCGTGAGACGCGAATCATTATCAATCTTAAATAAGACGCGGAGTCACGGTTAATTCCGTCGGTCCGTCATGTTTCACTATCTGTAATTAAATAATTTAATTCCGGTGGACCACATCTACCGTGCGCTTCGCTGCAAAACGCGAACGACCACTTCTCCGGCCTCACGTTTACATTAAAACGGTCTCCTTCCGGGCGAACAAAAGCTAGAACCGCACGGTCGCGTCCTAAGTAACTAAACAGCGAGAACACGGTCCATCGCGCTCAACTTTCCGGGGCGACGATGCAATTTCTATTTCGCCCCGTCGAAATTATGCTGATGTTCGTTTGCTCGCTCGAGAGTACGCTTATTTCTGCTCCGGAACGGGAGGAGTTGGTCGGCGCGCGACAGTTTCCTCCCGTGCGTCACTTTGCGTGGGAAAGCCTCGCGCGATAACCGATAAGTGTCTGCCGAAAGTCTGTTGTATGCCACTCTTCGCTGATTATCGCGTGTACCGTGTATGCGATCGTCGCTTAGTCTGGAAATAGCGTATGTCCAACTTCGAAGTTGTCGTTAAAAGCCGATTCACAGAGCCTTTTCCCTATCATCGAAGTATCTACAAACACAATGACACGTCATTTTGTAAAAGTATTTTAATATATATATATACAAGATGTTTCAGAAATAGGTCGCCAAATTTCTAAAACACTCTATATACTGCGCCAGGCTAATCATTTCTGTTTCCATTATGTTTGACATCAGCACAATCTCTGATGCTTCATGAAGGTATAATGTCGTGCATTAATGGAGTCCCATTCCCTAGGTATAGTAATATCGGAAATTTCGAATTTGGCATATAATTTCGAAATATTCGTGCATCATGACTACTGATTATCCTGTGAATCCGCAAGCATGCTCCGAAGCAGTAATTATAACGCACGAATATTCAGAAATGATGCGCCTAATTCGAAATTTCCGACATTACTATACCTGTGAACAGCATTAATGCACGACACTGTGCACGAGTGAGCGCGTCAGCGCCGTCGTTTTCTCTCGGCAGAACGCAATGCCTGTGAAACATTTCCAAATCAATTTCTCGTATGGCCCTATTGTCGACTCGTTCGCCGAGCGTGACGTCGCAACTTTAGCTCACATTCTGTCGTTTTAATCGCGAGTCTCATCCTCGTCGGGGAGTGAAATATTGAAAATAAATGCCGGTTCAAACACGCGTCTGTCACCCGCGTCCGTTCGACGGTTAATTATCGATCGTTTGTTTCTCCGTTCGCTTTAGAACTTCGCACTCGCACCTTTTTGCGCTCATCGCACGCTCATTACACACGGCACTACCGTCTTCCGCTGGTACGCCTCGTCAGCTGAATTTTTCCGCCGCCTGTGACGTGGGAGAGTCTCCCTCTCTCTCTTTCTCTCTTTCGACAGTTCGTTATCGCTCTTCCGATTTCACTGCGATGTACGCCGGCAGGAGAATCGCCGCGATTCTCTGTTCCGCGACGAGACAGTTTCGGAACGCGGCAAAGGCCGATATAATGCGCCGGGTGCGTGCATCGGCCGGCGCGTTTCAGAACCCGAACAATGACGACGATAATGTGTCCAGATACCGGAGAAACACTGTATATTCGCCCGGACGCTGTATATTCGCGGGTGCACGTTAACGCGAGCACGTCGCCACGTTAAATTTGCACGTGCGCGCGTCCGCGACTACCGTGCATTAACGATCTCGCCGGCTACATGAATGAAAACGAGTACGCGGCCGAGCGAGCAAGTGGGCGAGCGGAGCGTCGGTCTGCTCGCGAGCAAATAGCGCGCACGTTAAACTAATTAATTAAGCCGTTTGTTAATGGAATAATTAACGGGTTATCTCGTGGCTTATTCGCGAGCGCCGAAACAGACGTCGCTCGTTTATTAGCGGCCACGAGAAAGAGAGGAGGGGCACAATTGGTGAGATTCGCGGTCGCTTATTTACGAGAAGAGTGTCAAAATTTATTCCCAAGGATTTCGCGACAGCTCGAGGATTGAGCTCGCCGAGGGACGCGTCCTGTACGAAACACGCAGCGACTTCCGCGCGTCCGTCCACGTCGCCGCTCTTCTCGATATTCATTAATAATCGGCCGATAGTTCCGATAGCTTTAGCGACACGCGCGTGATTCACGTTCCGCGAATGCCACCACTCATGGGGAAAAACGGCTGCGGACATTCTTCCTGCACACCCGCTGTAAATAATCGCGTTATCGGCCGGACATCGAATTAAACTCGCGACTCGCAGCGGGCCGCGGTCAATCCGCGATCGACGCTGGCGGTCGAATTAATCTTCGCCAGCGAAGGAAAATAACGAGTTCGGTATTGTTGCGGTCGCCGCATCTGGTCGCCGTCGATAAGCGGGAGAAAGAGAGACAAAGAGAAGNGGGGGGGGGGGGGGGAGGGGGCAGAGAGATCTGCAGCGGACGTGTAACGGCGCGCGCCTGCCTTTTTATTTTCAATCGAGAGAATGCGGATTGCAACTGCGGCCCGATTTTCGCCGCGGCTCCCCTTATCGCGCATTAATGCAACGAGCGCCGATTGCAAATCAGTCCGTTTTTCATTCCGGACGATAGATTTTGATTATTCCGGGCTGAGCGCTTCGGATCGCGACCGAGCTTGTCGATTACGGATAATATTCGCCGAATGAAAAACAGTTGTGAAAATTCGAGCTTTAAACGAGCGCGCGCGCGCGCGCGCGTGAAACGAATTACCGGGATTAAAAAGCAGATCGGCACCGCGGGAGCATCGTGGAGAATACGCGTGAAGGGATATAGCGTATCAAATTCTTCCCGGGATTCGGTCGCGCTTTAAATCTATATTTTATTGTCAATCTCTGAATAATTATCAATTCACGATGTTTCCCGCCGATGTTACATCAAGAATGAAACGATGGGCCAATAAAGGATTAACGACGGCGTTAGAGGATTAAAACTAAAACCACGCTTCGTGACACACAGACCGTTTGTTCCTGGATTATCGCCGGTCACTGCGTTCGTAAATTTCTAATCGACTCGCGGCTAATCTGTTTCCTACGAAATTTCGGCCAACGACGTTACATTCTTTCTTATTACACGCGTTACATTCTTTCAATGCAGGCATCTTCACGTTTGAGTGTTACATCGAGGTCTTTCCGAAATGTAAAATTTTGTAACTCAAATGTCTAATCTCTCTCTCAGTATACGAGAATATAAAAATATAAGAGAAATTATAATATAATAAA